GTTTTTACTATGATATGCCATGGAGAGTTTCTTTTCTAGTCCTGTCTATTTGGTGTTCTATATGCTTCTTGTAATTGTATGGGCATGTCTTTAATTTTGGAAAAATTTCTTCTACAATCCTGTTGAAGATCTGGTCCATATCATTATCCTGAGATTCTTCTCCTCCCTCTATGTCTATGATGTGAAAGTTTGGTCTTTTTATGGTGTCACACAATTCCTGCATATTCCATTCTGTGCTTTCTTAAATTTTTCATAATCTTTGCATGAGTGACCTAATTTGTCCATTTTATGCTCCACTTTTGATATTATGTTTTCCATTTCATTCATCCTATTGGTGAGACTTTATCTTGTCCTTTCTAATTGGCTTATTGTTTTACTTCTTCATTTTAGCCTGAGTATTCTTCAATATTTCTATCCTTTTGAATTCATTCAGTTTATCCCAATCTATTTTCAGCTCTTTGATTTATTTGCTTGTGTGCTCTTTAAATTCACTGAATTCTTTTATCACCTTTATAACTGTTCTTTTGAGTTCCAGGTCCTGCATTATCTCTAGGGGGTTCTCATTGTACTCCTCTAGAGGACTATTGGTATTTGGTGGTGATATGGTATTTTGGTTTTTCATGTTGTTTTTTCTCTGTGATTTTGACATGTGAATTTCTTTTGTAGTTTCTGATTCTTGTGTGAGACTCAAGCCTTCAAGCTGGTTCCTCTAAGCTTCCAGTTCTCTCTTTTGATTTATATTGGAGTGGCCAGATTGCTTTTTTCTTCAGGAGTTCCCACAGAGGCCCAAGTCAGATGAGGATCAGATGCTATCAGGCTTTCTTCTAAGGTCTGGATCCCTCCAGGAAAGATTTGGCCTCAGGAATTTGAAGGTTGGACTGGCCTGGGAGCAGGGCCCAGGAAAGATGCTAGTCTACGGCAACTGGTGGCCATGCCATCCAGACATGCAAAGGGAGATGGGGGTGGGAAGAGGCCCCAAGGCTCCTGGGGACTGCACTTGAGGAACTGGGTTGGTCTGGTTGCAAAGGATCAGGAAGCGGAAAGTTCAGCCCCAGTGCCAGGGAAGAGGCTGGTGGGTTGTGCAGACCAGGGAAGCAGAGGGAGGTGAGGACAGGGCCAGGATTAGAGGGCTCCTGGGGACCTCAGAAAGAATTGGGTTGGTCTGGATGCAAAGGATCAGGAAGCAGTGGTGTTTCCCCCGCTGCCTGGGTGCCAAGACAAGGAATGGGACAGGACCCAGGCTAGGATGAGAGATGGGCTCAGGAGATGGGAAGGTGAATGAGGCTGGGGGAGTCAAGGCACAGAGGGCACAATCGACTTACCCTGGAGAGAGGCATGTGGGTCAGAGAGAGGTCTGCTGGTCGTGCAGGCCCAGGGAAGCAGAGGGAGGTCGAGAGCTGTATTTTTTATATTCTATAGAATTTTATAGATAATACCTAATGTATAAGCAATAATGACAGAGTTCCTTTTCCAATAACAGAAGGCCCTCCTTTATGTCCAGCATTCTCAAGAAATAAATATAAAATATTTTCCTAAAAGTCTGCTTAGGGTCTTACCTTCAAGTTCTGGGAGGTAACCAAGGGCTGTGGCAATAGCTTGTGTCATTTTGAGAAATTTTGAACTACCCTGACCAACAACTCAAAGGGAGGTTTCTCCTGTCTGGCATTGTGTTTCTTGTTATATAGCCTTCAGGTATACACTCTCACAAGCAAAGATTCCTCATGCAACAGAGTAATATGCACACAGAAGGCCACAACTGGCTAAGCTGTAGAGAATAAGAGACTATAGATGGTGTATCCCTGAAAAGGACTCCTATGTTAAGCCTCACCTACCCATTCTACCATTGTAGAAGAGGGGGCAGAAAGATTGTAAGAGGCAGGGTTGGTGCTTGCTCATATGATTTTACAGCAATAGTGTCAACACACAGGACCCATACAAACCCAATCAGACAAAAACCTGGCATAGAACTGGGGAAATCAACAACGGGCCCCAAGCTTAGCCCAAGAACTACTGGCAGCTGATTACTGCTGAGTGAGGAAGAGTTGATCTTCTTTAAGGCTGACTAGACTCTAGTGGATGCCTGCATTGAGGGACATCTGAGTATACAAACTTGACTTGATAGACCTTAACATGTATGAAAGAATGCATGAAATCTGGTGGGGAGGAGATATAGGAGGATGTGGATGGGAGAGGGGGTATAAAAATGATTAAGATTTTTGGTATAAAATGCACAAAAATTCAATAAAAAATATACAAAAAAAGTCTGCTTAGGCCCAGAGAGAGACATAGATTAGTGATAGAGCACTTTTCCAGTATAAACAAGGCCCTGGAATCCATCTAGAGCACAGGGTGTGTGTGTGTGTGTGTGTGTGTGTGTGTGTGTGTGTGTGTGAGAGAGAGAGAGAGAGAGAGAGAGCGAGAGAGAGAGAGAGAGAAAGGAGAGAGAAAGCATAAAGCTGCCTAAATAATTATGAGTCAAGTTGCAGAACAAAGAAAGTCCAAAGATGTGAAGTACTTTGAGTCACTACTCAAGAGGCATTTTCCAATTCTAAATGAAGTAGCTGAGAGCCGGAGAATATACAATGAACTTCTGAAAGTGCCAATGAGCTAAAGGAATAAAAACCAGGTTTCTAACAGAAGCTGAGGACAACTGATTAAACATCAGCTAATAAATGACAGAAATTTATGTCTCAGAGCTGGAGAGATTGCTCAGTGGTTACGAATACTGGCTGTTCTTGCAGAAGACCCAGGTTCGAATCCCAGCATCCACATGACAGCTAACAACTGTCCTTAACTCCAGTCCCAGGGGATCTGACAGCCTCTTCTGTCCTCTGTGGGCCTTGTACAACATGGGTGCACTTACCTACATGCAGGCAATACATGCATACACATAAAATAAAAATAATAAATAAAAAAAATTTTTTTTAAAAAAGAAATTTACGTCTCACAGTTTTGAGACTGGGAAGTCCAAGATCAAGGTATGAGCAGAGTCAGTTTCTCATAAAGAACATCTTCTGTGTTTTCTCACATGGCAGAAGGGGTGCACAAGTTTTCTTGGACTGATCTCTCTCTCTCTCTCTTGCTCGCTCGCTCGCTCGCTATGGACTGAAGCCAGGGCTTCAGTGCTCTAACCCTGAGCTACAGTCACAGCCAGAGGCCTCTTCTTGAAGGACCTGTTTAGTTTGTTTCTCCATTGCTGTGACAAAACACTCTGGCCAATACTAACTTGGGGAAGAAAGGGTTTATTTGGTTTACATCTCCAGGGTCACAGTTCATCACTGAGGGAGCCCAAGGTAGGAACTCAGGGCAGGAACCTGGAGGCAGGAGCTGGAGCACAGGTCATGGAGGAATCCTGCTTACTAGCTTACTTTCCTGGCCCCTGTTCAACCTGCTTTATTTTTAAAAATTTATTTATTTATTATAATTATTATCATTTTATGTGTATGTGTGTATTTCCTGCATGTAAGTGCACCCAAGTCTTGCAGTGCCCAAGGAAGGCAGAAGAGGCTGTTGGATCTCCTGAAAATGGAATTATGGACAGTTGTTAGCTGCCATGTGGGTACTGGGATTCAAACCTGGGTCTTCTGCAAGAATAGTCAGTGTTCTTAATCACTGAAACATCTCTCCAGCCTCTCAACCTGCTTTCTTATACAACATAGGCTGCCCAAGGGTGGCACCATCCACGGTGAGCTGGATTCTCCCACATCACTCAATAATCAAGAAGATGCCCTACAGACATGGCCATAGGCCAGTCTAATGGAGGAAATTCCCCAACTGAGGTTACCTCTACCCAGATGTGTCAAGTTGACACTAAAGCTATCCAGCACAGGGCCCTATTTACAGTTCTGATGGTGGAATGCTAATGCCCTATTGCGTGGAAAAGTCCCATTTCTTAATACTGTGACTTTGAGGGTTAAGTTTCAACATAAATTTTGGGGAAGACAGAAACATTCAGATTAGATAACATTGCAGTTATCTAATACTACAAGAAAATAAAGGACAAGATTATGAATTTCTGTTATGAGCTAACAAAAATACATTAAATGAAAATGTAGTATACAAAGCTACACCCTCTAAAATTAAGGACTCAATCAATGGTCTCTGTATTACATTAGTCTCAAGTGAAGAAATAATTAATATGGAAAATTATTCAGAAAAAAATACACAGACTAAAGAACATGCAAAAGGATAGACAATAGAGAAAATAAATAATATAGAGACACAAAGTCATGAAAAAATACATTTAATACATTATTGGGAAAACTTCCCAAATTACTAATTTTTAAAAAAATATTTTTATTTTTTTATATGTATGAGTGTATTGCTTGCGTGTAGGTACATGCAACTAAGTCATGCAATGCCCATAGAAGTCAGAAGAGGGCATTGGCTCCCCTGGAACTTGAGTTATGGACAGTTGTTAGCCACCTTGTGGGTGCTGGAAACTGAACCCAGGTCCTCGGCAAGAGCAGTCAGTGGTTTTAACTGCTGAGCCATCTCTCCAGCCCTGCCAAATTACTAACATTTTAACTAAAATGGATAAAAGTGTCTAATGATTGATAAAAAAATACTATAATTTAATTAGGAAATGACATAAAGGAAACAACTTTGTCTTGATTAAGTATTAATATACTGTCATGCTGCCCTTGTATTTGAAGTGTTATTTATTTTAGCCATCTTGATATTTGCTCTGTAATCCAAAAATTGTTTGTGGTAGAACTAGTCAATGAATTAGGTATATGCAATTAAACCATTTACTTTAATAATTATTTTTAACATTCATACCAATGACTACTTCACTTGTTTTTCCCAAGAAAACACCAAATAGTGGAAATTTATTTTTATTCATCTGGACTCTACTGGATTTGTAGGAAAATATATGTCTAAAATCTAGTCATTGAAAATGTTAATTATAAATATACTATTTTTAGTGACATTTCCCAATTTAAAATTACTAGTATATTATATAACTCATATTATGGATTATAAGATTGGTTCCTTACATGAGACAGGAAACTGGCTGTAGACTGGGAAGATGGTACATTAGAATGAGAATGAGTTACAGATGCTGGCTGGAGAAGGTGTGGCTTCATTGAAGAATTGGAGGTGTATCCGGGGCCCTGAAGTTCCTAGCAAACAATTCAGATGTGAGCAAAGTAATGCCAATCTACAGCTACAAAGAATTGTGAAAATCAAAATACATTTTTAATTTCTCAGGAAAAAAATTCATTAATACTTTGAAATACTCAGCAACTTTAAAGTATATTTCTGAAAATATATATTTCATACATATTTCAGTTTTTTAAATACTATTTTTGGGGTTTTTTTTGTCTTTTTGAGACAGGGTCTCCCTGTAGTAGCCCCAGCTGGCCTGGAACTCACTATGTAGACCAGGCTGGCCTCAAATTTTTGGGGGTTTTTTTGTCTTTTTGAGACAGGGTCTCCCTGTAGTAGCCCCAGCTGGCCTGGAACTCACTATGTAGACCAGGCTGGCCTCAAACTCACAGAGATCCGCCTACTTCTGCCTCCCAAGTGCTGGGACTAAAGGCATGTGTCACCACGCCTGGCTTAAAATACTGTTTTGTCTTGTTTTTTCAAGTGCATTTCATCATGTATATTATTGCCCAAACAAGTCAAACACACTAATTCTTTAGGTCTTTGCACTCACTTAACATCTACGTGTGGAAAATCTTCCTTTAGGTATCCCCAAGGCAGGGATTTGTGAAACTTTAGTGTTTCACTTACTTATTGTCAACTAAGACAAGATGTGATGTTTTAATTTGATATCTTAAATGAAAGGTATGGGTACTGGTATAACAATAGCTCTACAGATTTATGCTATTATCAGATAATGTTGAAAGTATATTCAAGTATAAGATATATAGAAGGCTAGGGAGATGGATCAGATGGTAAAGTGCTTGTTGTGCAAGCATAAGGACTTGAGTTCACCCCCCAGCATCCATATACAAAACCAAGGGCAGATAATGTGTTTGGAATCCCAGGGTTGTGAGATGGAGACATGTGGATCCCAGGGACTTGCTGGTCAGCAACCTCATCTAATTGGTGAGCTTCAGGTTCATTGTGAGATCCTGTGGTTAAATGTGACTGAGGAAGAAACCAGATGTGATGTCTGTTGTTCATAACCATGCATACCTACACACACATACATACATACACACACACATCACAAATGTACATAAATATAGAAGTATATCAAAATAGACACTGTTTCTACTTAACTATTACAAATGACAAGCACTCTTACTTTTACATCCAAAGTGTGTTGGAGCTTTAGGCTCACAGATTCTTGTTCCTGGCGCTGTATTATATCTTGACATTCTGCAAACTGCAAAGATGCCTACAATCAAGCAACCATAAGTGGTTTATCCTTCATTCTTTATGCATTTTATTTCATCAACCCCTAACTGTAGAGTTGCCATCCCTTCAAGGACAATGACCCACCTCTAGCACATTGTATACTAATGATCTTTGTCTGCTTTTATTCAGTCAAGTGCCTTTATCTTTGTATCCTTTGTATTCCCAACATATACACAGCATTTGGCACGTAGGGACACTCAGAAGAATGAATGAACCAAAGATAAAATGAACAAAAAGCTTTAGCAGAGTGTACAATTTATATAAAAATAATTACAAGCTGGGCTCAGTGGTGTAAGCCTGTAATCCCAGCACACAGGAGGTGGAGGCAGGAAGATCAGCAGTTCAGTGTCATCCTTGGCTACATAGCACGTTTGAGACTAGGCTGTGCTACACGAGGCATGGTCTCCTGAATCAAAGCTACAACTGAAATTTCATATAGTGTGTTTTAAGAAACAATGCAGGCACCGTTGGATCAGAGAGCTTTGTCTAACCATAAAGGTTCTGATTGCTTAGGAATCAAGGATTGGTTTGGGTACAGTTTTAAGTTTCCAGAGTTCCTAGGGAGGAGGAAGGCAGTTTCCTCTCTCTCTAATAAATGACAAATATAGTGTCAGGTCCTCTTCCTTTCAGGTGCTTTCTCCTCACACTTTCTGGGCCCAACAAAGTGCCCATTGGCATTGTACTTTTTAAAAAATATTTTATTATTAAAATATATTACTAAAATATTTTTTATTTTATGTGTTTTGTCTGTATGTATATAAGTGTAGCTATGTCATACAATACTCATGGAGGCCAGAAGAGGGTGTGTCCTCCCCTAGAAGTGGAGTTACAGATGGCTGTGAGCTGCCATACTGGTGCTAGGAACTGAACCTGGGTCCTCTGCAAGAGTAGACAGTGCTCTTAACCACTGAGTCATTTCTTATCCCAGCACTATCATTTTATTGACATTTAAGAGAGACTGTATTCCACTAGAGTCCAGATCATTCTGGATCTGATGGTAAGCTAAGTGCTCATGGAGGCAATTCTACTTAGGCCATTAAGGATTGCAGGAACATCTTACATCTCATATCCTACTGCCCCTGTGGCCGTGCTAGCCTGAAAACAGTAATTTGAAAAAAAAATTATGCTGTTATGGTTTAAATCTGAAATGTTTCCCACAGGCTCATGTTTTGAGGGTTTGTGTCCCAGCTGATGGAGCTATTTTGGAAGACTGTAGAACCTTCAGGATGTGGGGCCTAGCAGGCATAAGGAGGCCTAGAGGGGGGCCTTTAATTGTTGTAGGCTGGACCCTGGTTTCCTGGTCTGCTGTGACAGGAGGAGCTGTTCTCCCTGCCACCATGAAATTCATCATGCCTTCTGCGATGGACTGAAAGAAACCCTCTGAAACTGTGAATCAAAGTAAGGCTTTCCTCTCTTATTCTGTCAGGTATTTTGGTCATAACTATGCAAAGGTACCTAACACATATGTAATAAGACTATGATTTTACAATTCAAGAATCTGCTAAGTATAGCTTTTCCTTGTGCTATGTGATTGGGCTTTGATACAAGTTGACAGAATCTATTCCTATTTACATAGAATGTTCACTGAGAACTATTCTATGTGGTTACTATTTGGATGGTAAGAACCTCATCAATTTAGTTAATAACTACCTTATCAAGAGCAGCTTCCATACTGGCAACCCTTTCTTTCAAGCAGCGCTCCTGAGATCGCAACACTCCCAGTTCCCCAGCCATCTTGTTTTTTTCTGTTGTGACAGTACTCAATTCCTGGCTCAGTTTACTCTTTTCTTCTTTCAGAAAATGTTTCTCCTATAATTATGTAATTATAGAAGAGGGAAAATATCAAGAATAATTGCTGACATAGGTGCTGAAAGGGGGTGAAAGTTTAGGCTTCTGTTTGAGGACCCTGGGTTCCAGGCCATCTCATGACTACCAGTCACCTTCTTTTTAGGCTTCATAAATCTTTGAGAAATCTATAAAAGTATGAAGTAACTATGAATCATAAAAACAGTACTGGAGCGAACTGGGATTGAATAAAAGCATACTAAATTTTACTGAAACTTATTTTAAATAAGAGATTTAAAGAATATGTACTTATTTGAAAGTTTCCTGGTTTCAATTTTGTTTCATGGTTGAACATTTATTTCACAAATGCCTACTCCAGACTCCAAAACAGAAAAAATAATGAGATGGATAGCTCCTGATCTCAAGTCACCTGTCACTACAGTGAGAGAAATGAGCTCACTGATATCATAGTTTTTGTTATTAAACAAAAATTTCACTAAAATTAATTTACTCTTTAGAAGAACTCTATGGAACAAATTCAAAAGTAAGAAAATGGGTAGTTGTTGAGGTAAAACATAGGCCTCAGTTTATCTAGTCTCTATTTCTTTTCATATTTATTTTTCATAGTGAAAAAATGTTTACTATAAATAAGTCAGAAAATGTCACCGCAGCACGCATCTGTAGACAGATAGTTTTTCCTTTTCTGATTAGGTTGTGTTTGTTTTATATGCATCCTCACTTTGTTTGAGGAATGTATCACTGGGTTGTGAGGGACACTTGTTTTAGGTCTGGGTTGACAGCAGGCAGTAACCTCTCTCTCTCTCTCTCTCTCTTTTTTTTTCTTTTTTTAGGCAGTAACTTCTTAAAGCCATAATTGCCATCAGCTTGAAAAAGCACTGCTTTAGATCCCCAAAGGAAAATAATGAGAAAGAGAAAAAAACATGTTCAGGATAAGAGAGAAGAGGGGGAAGAAGAGGGGGCAGGAACAGAGAAAAAGAAAGCAAGGAGTTCATATGATGGGGGAGATGTACAAATGTATGACCATTTTGCTAATATTTAGCTGCATTCTAAAGTATCCCTGGGGCTCATCATGAGTAATAAACTAGTAATTAATTTAGTTGTGCTTATCTTTTTTTACTTATGCCATTTTACTTTTTCACCTTCATTATAAACAGTTCTGTTATAAATCTGAAAGTGCAAATTTGCTTGAAATGGATTCACATCAGGGAACACTTAAACACAATAAACACAATACAAATTCCATGTTTGCTTATGAGAATTTTCACTCGTAAGAAATACTAAGTCAGGGCTGGAGAGACAGCTTAGCAGTTAAGAGCACTGGCTGCTCTTGCAGAGGACTCAGATTTGATTCCCAGCACCCATTCCCTAACAACCATCTGTAACTCCAGTTTCAGGGAATCCAACATCCCCTTCTGACTTCCACGGGCACTGCACGACATGGGTGCACTTACATACATTCAGGCAGTACACTCATATACAGAAAATAAAAATAATAAAATATTTAAAAAGAATACCAAGTCACTGTCAAAACTCCCCATTGTTGGGGACCCCTGTTGTGTAAAGTAGCAGTCTCTCCATGTCCGGATAGCCTATGGGCTCAGCTTCATATGCAGAGACTCCTTTTATCAGCAGGGTGCCTTCCTGGCATCTTCCTGTCTCATCTTTTGAAGTTGCTGTCACAGAAACATGGCCTCCGGCTCTGAAAC